TCTCCGATCGCAGGGTCTCTAGCGTTAACCAGCGCGGAGGATAATGGAAGCGCGGCGAAGAGGGACCGCTCGTATTCATTTCGCGGAAATCGCATCGCGATAGAGAAGCTACGGGGAAAGAGAGACCGGGAACTCTCGAATGAGCTCTCCATTCGTGGGGGGGGGGAGGCATTTTAGCTTCTACGCGGGGAGGGAAAAATGCGCCGCCGGCTGTGCGCGCGCGACAAGTCGCGCTCTCCGACGAGTCACATGTTTCCCGGTTTCAAGGAGAGGACGATTTATCGGCCATCAGGTATTCGGGAGCGCAGGTCCGAACGCGTTCGCTCGTCGATGATATATAGCGCGCGTGGACGTTCTACTTTGCGATATATTGTCGTCGACGGCGGAATTGTAGCGATCGAACGTATCTCAAAATGGGGACGCGTCGAATTCTGTTGCTCCCGCGTTTGCGACACGTCGCGTCGTAATATCGTCATCCTTTTTAACTTATGCCCGGTCCAGCGTTTCGCCCCCCCCCCCCGCGTAGTGTCGTCTCCCCCGACGACTCGGCGTACACTCGTACAAACGCGCAGGTCGGTAATTTTTACGCGCCGCTCCGGATATTATGCCGGAGCTGTTAACAATCGAGCTGTAATTGTCACTAATTGGAACGCGCCGCGCGTAACGTTCAATTAATTCCAAGTCGCGAAGTGAATTTGGATCGGTAGAGCGGCGCATATGTACATCAAACTGGTCTCTCTCTCTCTCCTTTTTTTTCCCCCTCGGTATTATCCACGGTAAGCGCGACATGGTGATAGCGGCGACCAATCGGGCGGCGACGCCAAATTGGTTCCGTTCGCAGAATGCGCCGTTATTCGCTCGGTCATCCCTGGCGATAATGAATTACGTGAATTTCAAGGGTCGCGATACCCGCGCAATTAGCATCGACCGAAATAAACGCGCAAAACGTCGCTTGCATCCTTTTTTTTCTTTTTTTTTTTACTGTACACTGTTTCATCGTACTTGGCGGTACGATCGGCTTTTACAGCTTCGAACGCGCGTCGTCGAGTGTCATCGCAGCACTTACATCTAGCATAGGCTTACACAATCGCAATAGATATTATCCATTTAACGTAATACAAAGTGGCACCGTTACATAGGTAGCGTAGGGTGTTCCGTACTGCGCGGGCGACGCTTGCGAGACGCGGAAACTGACGATCAATCCGCCGCCACGGGTATCGCCGGGTCGACACCCGTGATCGGTGATCTAAGACACAAACCCCGACGGAATACGGGACACCTCTACGGGGTACGAGCACGGCCTAACGATGCGCTTACAGAAGGAGAAGGGACACAGATCGCTACGTTAGCCTCGACGTAGGCTCGACGCTCGCGAGTGCGAGAACGGGTCCCGCTACAATTCGACATTGGCGCCGGGGTTTCAATGTTAAAAAAGGGGAGGGGGGGGCTGGGGGCTGGGGGGAAACGCGTATAACAGCTAGATAGATTCTTAACAGCGTTAAATTCTCATCATGTTCACCGCATAAATGTAACACGTGCAAAACGTTTGCCTTTGCCCGAAACCTTAACACTTGCGTTTGCGCACGCGAATCGTGCCGTAACGATCGCGATCTCCCCGTTACGGGGCAGCACGAATAGAAGACACATCCACTGGTATCGCTCCTCGCGGAACGACTCGCGCCCAGTTGCCCCCAGTTGCTTCGTGCCTCGCGTAAATTTCACACATAAACGCGAATAGGTTTCGCCTTATCGACTAATACCGTCCGGAACCTTATTCACATTTATCACGTTATCACCTCACGGCGCGTGGCGAGCGTCAAATAAAAAACGCTAAAGGAACTTGACGAAAGAAAAGAAAAAAAAAGAGAAAAAATGGTACGTGGAGGGAGGCGAGGTAAGGGACACCCGTTTGTAACGATCGGATCGTCGGGGGGGGGGGGGGTGGGGAACGGATTCATGCGGATCACGGTTTGCTGGTTTCGGATACTTCGGATGCTGCGTATTCAATAAATAACTTACGAGAGAGATAACTTACGGGAAAGGGGAAAGTCGAGGAACGGGGATAGGTGACACGAGTGTCCTCCGATCGGCGTGTCCTCCGCTGAAGAGCCGTTCATCGTCAGCGACCTCGACAGAAGTCACCCGCGTCCACTCGCGGGTCCTGCGAGAGCCTTCCGGAGTCTCCTCGTATTTCGTTCATCCTCCAGATCCCGCGGAGACTCGCCGGCACGGAGCCGTGCAAGTCTCCCGCGCGTCTCGAAAGGCACTACCGGTTTATTGTAAGTGTGGTCACGCACGCCCCGTCGTGGCGCACTACGACCAGTCGCCCTCATTGCGGACGATGCCCATGGTATCATACTTCCGTGCCGTCCTCGCCCTCGTCCTCGTACAGCGTCGGCCCGTTGGCGGATTTCTTCTTGGGTTTCGGCGGCGGCCTCGGCGGCACCTTTCTGCCGAGGGTGTTGCTGGTGGTGGCGGCGACGGCGGCGGCGGCGGCGGCGACGGCCTGTTGCTGCTGTTGCGCCAGAAGCGGATAACCGCCGTCCATGCTCTCGTCCGCCAGCTTGAGCGGCCACTCGGCCGCGCCTTCCGGCGCCGCCCGGTCCAGCGCGCCGGCCAGGATGTTCGGGGTGCTACGTTGGATCGCGCCGTAGTGCGAGCTGCCCGGTGTGCCCGGAAGTGGCCGGCCTCTCATAGACGTGGGCGCCGGTTCCGGGCTCTTGTTGAGCGACAGCATCGAGCTGCCGTCCGCCGTGGTGCGTAGGCCCAGATTGTCGTACACCGGCTCGAGGACGTCGGTGGGCGACGTCGGGGGTCCGCTGCTCCAGCTAGGCGCCCGCGGCCGTCGCGGGATCGTCACGTAGCCGTGGCGCGGTAACACCGGCGCCAACGGCGACGACGACGATGGCGGCCCGAGGCTGTACGGCGTCACGCTGCGGCTGTGCGGCAGCGTCTTGAAGGCGGCCGGGTAGTACTGGCCGGACGGCGGCGAGCCGTACGGCGAGGCCGCCGTCGTCGTCGCCGGGGTTATCATATGCTGACTAGGTAGACGCGTGCTGTCGGGCGCCGTTGACGCCTGGCTAGTCGGCGATGCGCCGCGGCCGCCGGAGAAGGCCAGCAGGTCCGGCGGGTATTGTCGGTGATGGTAACCGGCACCCCCGCGCGGCAACGTACCGCCGCCGCCGCCGCTGCCGTTGCCGCCGCCTCCTCCGCCGCCTCCGCCGCCGCCGCTGCCACCCCCGTCGAGTTCCGGCGTGGCCAGTTCGTGCTCCCTCTCGTCGTCGCCTATGCCGCCGCCCACCCCGCCGACGACGCCGCTCCCGACACCGTCAGCTGCGAGAGCATGAACAAAAGAGAAGGACGAACGTTAAGAAAGAAAATCTAAGTGAGGCCGAGAAAAAAAAATGGGAAGAAAAAAAAAGATCGCGCGCGGGAGGTCAGCAAGTACGGAGAGATCGCCCAGGACGTTGCCTTCGTACGAGCGGCGCGATATCGATATTACAACCCCCGGCGGCCCCGGCCAGCGTGGACGAGTGGCTCTTAATCCGATTGCTCGCGATGTCATCGTAATCGGGAGAGAGCGCTTTGTCAATTTAACTGAAAAGTATAACTGCGTTTCCTGAGTGTCGCCGGTCAAGCGAAGCGTACGACCGGGCCGCTTTGAGGTCCTCTTAATCCCCGTCAAGTTGATTGAATTCTTTTTCACAAGATCCGAATCGCGTTAAAGTGCGAGTCGTGCATCGCTTTCTCTCCGCAGTATCCCGGATTCATAGAAATTTGATCGAGTGCCATCGCATACGCGAGTCGTCCCTGCGTAATCTCGTCATCTCGGCAAATATTTCATCAACGATGACACGCAGGTCCCTACCACACCTTATTGTCGTCATTACCTGCGCAATTATACGTTACAGCGAGTCGCTATTGCAATTCGTCATCAATCGTCTCGCGTTAGAAGTAAGAAATGAAAATCTGCCCTGTACTCATCTACAGAGAAAATGGCGTTTCTAAAAGGATGATAGCTCGGTGGTTCAACACGGATGACGAATGTGCTCGCGCTGTCGCAGCGCGAATGTTATATTAACGGGTGCCTGATGCATCATAAGCGTCCCTAACGGATCTTCATTAGTCTCCTAGCTGCCACTCGACGGACTCTCCTTACCTTTAAGATCGATGGCACCTGGTCGGACAATTCTCGCATGATAGTCCGCGCTCGGCACGGAACGAATCGATTTACGATTACACGCACACACATGCACACACGCTATTTGTACATTATATAAGCGACATAGAGCGGTCGTCTCCCGTCTGGGGGGGAAAGAATATTACCCCAAACGAAATGACCGATGTTCCGCGACTTGGTTGGGAATCGTATCGGCCACGCGCTCGTCAGCGAGCACCGTCCGACCTTGGATCAATGTTCCGCGTACGCGCGGCCGGTCTCGAGGTAAATCGCTTAGTCGGAGCTAACGCAAGGTGGTCTCTCGCTAGCACCTAGCCGCGCACTGTTTAGTAATGTAGGCTGTGTACTGACCGAAAACCGAGTCGTTGTCGAGCAGGGTGCGATTCAGCTCCGTCATCTCCGTACCGTGAGACGTCACCGACGGCGCCTCGTAGCGCCTCGGCGGCTTCACGACCGGGTTAATGGTTGTGATTAGGGACTTCTCCTGCTCGCCGAGACCGTGGTGCTCCAGGGACGCCGCCTCGAGGCCCTTCTCGTCATGCCTGGTGCGGCGACGACGGCAGTAGCACACGCAAAGCACCACCGTGACGATCAGCAGACACAACGCGGTGACACCCAGCCCGATGGCGAGGGGCAGGCTGATGAAGTTCTCCCTGCCGCCCCCGGCGTCGCCTACGACCACCAGAGTCACGTTTCTCTCGGCCTCGCCGCCCGGGCTCTTCGCGTGGCAGATGTAGTCACCCTTGTCGGAGGGCAGCGCGTCGACAATGGTGAGATTCAACCATTCGTGGTTCGACGACAGTACGTACCCCCGGTCGCTGTTCGCGCGCCTGGTGAGATTTACATCGCGATTGCGATGCGTCCATGATAACTGAAACAGACATGTCGCGACGTTTCGTAGTGCGGCAGCGAAGACAAAAATTTCATGTATGTTGTAGACGAGAAATCTTGAATGAGATGGCAAGATGGGTACACTGTTAAATTCGTAGTGACTCGAACGAGTCAAATTTGACTCGACGAGAAGTCGCCGCCGCTCTTACTCAATATGTCGTTACTTTTAACTATCTACAAATTGTAGCTACAAAAAAACAACTGCACCTTTTATTTAACTAATTTTACGACAGTGTCTCCGAAATCATTATGAAATCTTTTACGAAATTCCTACGCAATTATTTTGTCTTTATTTTCAAGTTTCTTCACTTGTTAGACAATAAACGTTAAATTTGAAATAAACATTTTCTCAACTTGAGAAAGTTTTGAGGAAATTTAACAGCTCTTTGAGATTTAACGACGTCACATATTTTTAAACGTGTATATAAGAAAATTATTTGTAATCAGATGAAATCAAATGAAATCATGTAATCGATGGGACAACATTTTAGCCAGTGGTTGCTTTAACATCTTCTCAGCATGAACCTAACAGATTGTGAAAATTTTTGCAATATAAACAATATTTTGCAACAATATTTTGCAGTTTTTGCAACTGTTTAGAAAAAAACAACTCTGTTTTCAAATTTTTATTAGTTTTTCATTTTTTTAATTGTTTTTCTTAAATAGGTTCATGCCGAGCGTTTTTTCACAAATTTATGAAATTTTCCCCGAATTTTGATTTCAGATGATTAGAGCGGTCTCTGCGATCCCCGGCGCGTTCGTGAATAGGCAACTTCAACCAGCTACTGCTCAATGAATTTTCATTATTTTTACATAAAAAAATTCCCGTGTGTAGTTTAAATACTATATAAAAGCATGCACTAATTTTCAAAACAATCGATTTATTCTCCTAAAAAAAATTCATTGACTTGACCCTCCCCCCTTAACACTACAAATTTAACAGCGTATCACACCGCATTTCTTTTCGCGCGCGTACTTTTAGTAGATTAGGGGTTTACGATTAATTTCAATCTAGTATCGGACATGCGTGTCAGTAACGAAAATGCAATTACCTTAGGGTGTGGGACTCCCGATGCCCTGCACCAGAATGTCACGTCCTCCCCTTTGCCCACCTCGTTGGTCGTCGGCCCGACGGCGGTGATCCTCGGTCTGCACGCGAACTCGTCGCTACCAACTTCGTCCCACATCTTGCCGGCCATGTGGGGCGGCTGCTGGCAAGTGGTCGGCTGTGTGTACAACTTGCGCTCGATTGTCCAGTCGCGGAACCTTTTGAGATGGCAGTTGCAGTTCCACGGATTATTCCGGAGCTCGAGGCTGCCGAGCTTGGGCAGACTCTCGAAGCTTTGCAGTTGCAGAGTGCTGAAATTATTGCCGTCGAGTGCGAGGGAGTGCAAGCCCGCCACGTGGCTGAACGCCCTCTCCTCGATCCGCTCCAATCTGTTGTCCGACAATGTCACTTTCTGTAGGAAGGTGAGATTGAAGAACAGATTGTCCTGCAGTATCTTGAGCTTGTTCTGATCGAGCACCAGCACTCGCAACCGTTGAGTCTCGTGGAAGGTCCCTGGTTCCAGGGCGCGGAGATTGTTGCCCGACAGATCGATCTCGATGACGATCTTCAGGCTGTTGAACGCCTTTGTGTGAATCGTCTCGATGCCGCAATCACGCAACGTCAGCTTATGCAGATTCACCAGATTGACGCGGCTGAATGCGCCCTCGCCGAGCTGAATTATGCGATTGCCGGTCAATTCGAGATTCTGGATCTCGGGCGAGAGGTCCCTCGGCACCTGCGTGAGGTTCTGCTTAATACACTCGGCGGTCTTCTTGCCGGACACCCATTTGCACTTGCACACCGACGAGCACTGCATCCAGTCCTCCTGGCCTTGACACAGGGCGACCGTAAGCGCCGCACAGAGCAGCCACCGGCCCGCCGTTCTCGGTATCATCTCGAGGAATCCTGTTAATAGCAGAAACGTGCGCGATGACGTTAGAACGTGACTGCGGTGCCGCGACCACAGAACTTACTTAGCCGAGCGTAGTTGCATGCATGAAACGGAGTTTCGTCTTTTGGGATATTCCGCCGGAGAGAAATATGCAACATGCAACTAATATATCCCAGTTACGGCTTAATATTTACCAACGCGGGCAACTAGCTGAGCGTTTCGCGTGTATTCACCATTATTGATAGTTGAACGCGGATGTGGATCATTGTTTAATTACACGATCGAATAATTATATTACGTATACGCGGTTGGAATTAATTATTACTAAATAATATGCGGTGCTTAATAATTCTGAATAATTTGTATGCCACACAAATATCCCGTACGCTATTTGACACTTTTAGTTAATGTGCGTTGGGATAATTGTCCGTGACTGTCACTGAACAAATTACCCGGCACGCAACCATTTTCACGATAACCAAATGCCGCCGTGTAATTGTACAATATAAAACGTACGAAACGAGGCAATGCGTAAGATACTCCCGCGGAATCGAATTCTCCAAAGTGTAAATGTATCCCGGCATTTCTTACAACGGCATAAGTTGCCCGTGCGAACAGCGCGCAAAGTTGTTTCGTGGCTCGCCGCTACAACAAGGCTAAACTCGACTTTCCGTGTTATCGAACAAGTCTGGCTATGTCTGAGACAGTTTGGTGCCATCGGAGACCAACCCGGGATTTTCTTCGTCTCCGGCCGTTCTGTCTTTCCTCCCCTCTTCCGCATTCCCACGAGAGCCCGCCTTTCCTCTATTTTTGTTAGTCAACGCCGCTAATCTCGGAGCACGGCCGAGACACCCCGCCGAGAACTGTTGGCAATTTAGCTTTAATACCGTTACAGCATCGCGCTCTCCGACGCCGGCGTCGCGTCGCGTCGTGTCGACGCGTCGCCGAAGTTAAATTAATACACCACGGCGACTAAAACAAGCTTCGCCCCTTTTATTATCACCGTGCAGTCCGAGGTTGTGCATCAAATTAGCCCTTCCGCCGGCGGTCGGCGAGTCCAATTCATTCCGGGCCTCCCCGCGGGTTCGAATCGGCGAGCGAGAGAAAGTGTCCGAGCTACGACTCCCCGAATGAAAGAATCCAATACACCGCGGGACAACATTCCGAAACGACTCGCTAACAGAACGCGATTCTAAATTCGCGCATTTAAACCTGCAAGCTATTTTGTGCACCTTGTTCCAAACTTCGCGATAGACTTTACCCAGACATCAAATTGTGCGCCCGAGTGAAACTGAAGCGCCCTCGCGAAAGACCGAAACGGCTACAAATTGAATATGGTTCAAATTTCGTGTGATGATCGTCGGCGAATTACGATACGCTGAAAAAAAATTGCCTTGCAACAATGTTCTAGGTATGAAAAAATAACTGAGATACGTAAACGAATAGCCGGTACTGCGAAATCGCGTATTTTGTATTTAATCAATTTAAGTAATAGAAACAATTTCTATCTCAAATGTTAGCGAATGTTGGAAAGTCTTTCTGTGGCGCCCGTCCATTACACATTTTATTGTGGTACGTAAACAGTTAAGGCCGAATCAAACTAGCAATGGCCGACTCGGATTGGATCGGGATTGGCGATTGACGAATGTTCTCTAGCCAATGAGAGTCGACTAAATCGCTGGCTGCTCTGCTCTCATTGGTCAGAAGACAATTGTCGATCTCAATTCAACGTGCGCCAACAATTGCTAGTCTGATTCGGCCATTAAGGCCGACTAACAATTGCCAACTCGGACAGGATTGGAATTGGCGATTGACCTCTGGCCAATGAGAGTCGACTAAATCGCTGGCTGCTCTGCTCTCATTGGCTAGAAGACAAGCACCAATCCCAATCCAATCCGCGCCGACACTTGCTAGTCTGATTCGGCCATTAAGGCCGACTAACAATTGCCAACTCGGACTGGATTGAAATTGGCGATTGACCTCTGGCCAATGAGAGTCGATTAAATCGCTGGCAGCTCTGCTCACATTGGTCAGAAGACAATCGTCGATCTCAATTCAACGCGCGCCGACAATTGCTAGTCTGATTCGGCCTTTAAGGACGACTAACAATTACCAACTCGGACTGGATTGGAATTGGCGATTGACCTCTGGCCAATGAGAGTCGATTTAATCGCTGGCTGCTCTGCTCTCATTGGCTAGAAGACAATCGCCGAGCGCCGATCTCAATTCAACCCGCGTCGACAATTGCTAGTCTGATTCGGCCTTTACATACCTTGCGAAGATTGTTCTAACTTTGGTACCGAAACTCATTTTTATTCAATGTGGCTGATATTTGATCACGAAACCTAAACTTTCCAGAAGGTATTACTTATAGTACGTTGCTACTATAAATTTTGCAGACTACACCCAGAAGAAAGTTTGTTTAAAGTCAAATGAATTTGTTCGAATTTTAAACTTACTGGACTTTTAATTTCGAAAAAACGATTTCTTTACCCCGACCAAAATTTTATTTAATTGAGATTGGAGTGTCTAGCCGACTTCACATCTACTCCTTCAAATCTAACAAATGTTTCGGTACAAGTAAATAAAAATTCAGCTTCAAAGAAATATCATCGTAACGCACATCTCTTGTTTAACTTAAATAAATCTTTTCTCTGGGTGTACAAACAATTTTCCAACAGATACAAAAGTAATGCTGAATATTTATCACGACACCTAGAGAAATCTACCCGCGTTAGTAGGATATTTTTTGGGGCGATATGCAACAATTAAAATCTCGCCCCGTTTCGCGCCAGGTCAGGTATTAACGTCGTGGGTGAAACAAAGAGGAATTCTTCGGAGATCGCGGGACCCATCGGGAAACTCGGTTGGTCCCCGGCGGGAAGCAGCGTTGTAGATTTCCGCCAACTTCTCGCGTATACATGTCTCGCGCGCGGCGCCCAACTTTTTGAAGTCTCCGTCCGCAAGGGCGACCGCGGTCACTGCACTTTGCCTGCAGCTTTGAGATTTTACTGTCGCGGCCGCGGGAGAGCAGTTCTTTTGAGCTCGATCGGCGGTCCTGCCGCGAGGTCAAAATACATATGTACACCGAGAGAGAGAGAGAGAGAGAGAGTGTGTGTGTGTGTGTGTGTGTGTGTGTTTCGCCGGGCACGCACGTTTCAAGTTCCGCCTTCCCTTTGCCCGCGTGGTTTCGGCTCCGCGAAGCTAAAACAGTGCTCTTTGAACCGCGATACTCGGGCGTGTGTACAGCTTACGACACGCGCGCGGCGCGTTTTCCCTTCCGTGAAATATATTCCGGGAGGAAAGGCACGTACGGGGGGAGTTAATATTGCACGGGCAAAACGACGAGAGATACGCTAAAAGACGACGACGCTCGTGCGACATCGCGTATATGCGTCGGAGCTTCGACTCGTACACATCCGTCTCGCTATCGCGCTCCGATGCGGCTTCAGCGGCGGCACCGGTCCCCGTTTCCCTCGATCCCGGTCGCGGGGCATCGATCGGCCGCATTTGACTTGTAAATAACTGGGGTAAGCCAAACGAGGATACGGGGAAAGTGAGGGCGCTTGTATACGGCCCGGAGCGGCTTTTAGTCCGGGTGAACGACGGACGAACGACGCCCGAGTGTCCTTTGGCGGCGCGTGTGCCGTGCCGGAAGGAACCACCCACCCGCCCGTCTCGTCGCGGCGACGCGGAAACGCGGAAGTCGCCCGACGCGGACGTGTGCGTGTCCGGCACGTTCGCGTGCCACGCAGAAGAAAAAAAAACCATCGCGCGCGCGGAGGCAGAGAGAGCGAGGTGGAGGAGAGAGAGAGAGAGAACAGGGGGTAGGCGGTCAACTTTCCGCGGGGCGGAATTTGAAATTCGAACACCCTCTATCAATCAAGAGCATTCCGCTCCCGGAGGGCACGGCAAGTATGCCCTGTTGCTCCTACACAAATTTCATCAATCATGCGAGCCAACACACCGGAGGCGGCGGTTATCCTGCCGGATCTCTCTGCCCGTCCTATATTTTCGCGCATGAAATAAGGTCTCGCGAAACACACCGAGCGACCGATGATTGGCGGATGTAACGATCGGTGCGACGAGTGGGTGGGCGGACATCGCGATGCTTATAAATGACTTTCGAAAGCGGTGGTTACGATGCAGCTTTCGCTGCGGAAGCTACGCGTAAATATGGGGGCGTTTAAGAGAAGGAGGAGGGAGAGAGAGAAACGCGCCCGGTGGGACGGGCAAGAAGAGAGTCGCGAACGCAATCCGCCGGGACTGTTTCTCTCTTTCTTTCTTTCTCTCCTTTCTTTTTCATCGCGAAGGGATCGCGCGAGTAAGACGCAGATTACCGTAAGTGATTCGCGGCCGTGAGTTTTCGGGAACTCGGCGCGCCCCGCGAAAGCGCTGTAATTTAATTTGTAATTTGCGAGGAGGGAGGAACACGCGCGCAATACCACCGTTGCCCGCTTCCCGCGGGGAAAACTTTTTCCCCGACGGAAATAAGGATTATTGAACGACGACGACGGGCGCGCAGCCGTCTTCCGAGAATATCAAAGAAGTTATGGCGGACGGATTTATATGTGTTATATGTACTTTGAGATAACGCTCCAAGCGAGGGACTGAACGTGGACCGAGACTTCGACGAGAAAAACGCTCATGTATAGCCTTGCCCCATTGAAACTTCTCAGAGATCCGGTCTCTCTCCCTCCTTCTCTCTCTCTCTCT